CTTCTTCCCCGAGAGGGATCGGCTCAGACGAAAGGCACTGTGCAACTGACGAGGCTGCAAGGCGGAAACGTGTGTACTGAATTGTATAGGTGCTCTTGAAAGACCTCGTGAAAGGATAAATAAAACGTTGTCTTTCCATATACTCCATTTACTTAGACTAAATTGATGAGTTAACGAATTGGCGACACCACTTCACTTCACGCCCCCTGTCTTCATTATGGTGTGGCATTTGTTCTCTTCATCGTATTCCTAAGTCGATTACGCTTCTTACTGTTTTCGTGCCTTATCGTCGCCAGAAAATCTCGCGTACTACAGTTCATAACTGAAAAGTGTTCATGATTTGGAAAAGCTCTCAGGTGGGTTGTGTGACTCCAGAGAGAAACTCATGATCACTTTACAAAACTGCCCGTAAAATGCAGATTGTGTACAGATCTCTTGATTCACAGTGACTAATGGACGGAGTGTCTAAATGTTAACTAAATCTCAACAAGATTAACATGGGGTGACATAAAAAACACATTTACAACCCACAAAGGTGTCACTTCCACTTCAACAAATCGTGAAGCTACTTTTGTTGCACAAAATGGTGAACCTTTGTAGAAGATGGGTGCAAGGAAACTAGTTTTGATTATCTCACTTTTCAACACTAAATCATTTACGTCATACACTATTATGCGCAATAGAATTACTTTCATGGTGTTTCCGAGAGAGAGAGATAGAGGGAGAGGGAGAGAGAGAGAGAGAGAGAGAGAGAGAGAGAGAGAGAGGTAGTAGAGTGATCAATGATGCATTTTGTCAGAATCAAGATGCTAGTGCGACACTCTCTTCTACCGCTTTTCCTCCAATCTAGGTACAACGCCATAGCTCGGCTATCCCCAAGATCACTAAGGAATTGTCTCGGCTAACATCCTACGACATTCGTGAAGAAGACGAAATCCTCAAACAGCATCCAAAACGAGACGCAAAGTGTTCGGTAAACTCTATGTAAGGTGAATGTGAAGAAACGAAATCATTGCAAGAAGTGCTGAAATTCAAATAGAGGATGCACTGATGTATATTATCAAATAAAATGTAGAATAAGGTGTAGTACATGCTTGTGGAAACCATGTAGGCATTTTCTTGAAATAGTTTCTGTCATTTCACTTGGGAAAATCATGAAATAGACTAAATTTTTTTTTTCGCAGGTTCTTCACAGCGCCGAAAAACTTCTCACATCAATGTGACGAGCCGATGAATCCGGAATCGATGCATTTGGTGGCGTGTCGGACGATATGTCTAACTGTTGAACAAGAGCTCTACGTAATGGGTTGGTAACCGACCGGGGAACCCCATGTGACGTACAATCCGATTTAGGTTATGTTTTGTTAGAGCGACTTTTTTAGGTCAGCCCACTGGAACGCGTTTGTTTATGCGGGGATGTGCATTGACTTTAGCGCGGAGGGGCTTGAACAATCATACACTTAGCATGTTTGATCGCTACGACATATGTCGGTGAGCCTTTCAAATCTTAAAAATGCTAAATATTTAGTACAGCTTAGCATTTTTCTTGCTAGTGCAAGTACTTTCTTGAAACTGTGAGCTAACCATCTGCTTTTGTGTTACAATATGTGTCATAGGTGGTCAACTCTATATGGGAGATGCTGGATGCCACCATTAAATTGCACTTTCAGTTTCTGGCAACGAGTTCGTCTTATACAACCTGTGCTTTCTTTTAGGCGAAAACAATTAAAGAAACGATCCTTCTCACTAAACAAGAATTTTTTTGATAAGAGTGTTAGTAAGCAGTAAGCATTTGAAAGAAGGAATCTCAGGGAGGGGGGAGGAGTGCTACAAGTGCTCGTTTTTGAAAAACCCTTTTTACAGCGCTGCAGGAGAAATAAAGTTTTGTATTCCACACGCGCGTATTTCTCGCAGAACAAAGCTTTTCACTTGGATATACGCAACCATTCAATAGCGTAACTTTCGACGATTCCAGCATATATTATTTTAGAAAAGAACGTTTCACTGAAGTGTAGCAGTGAAAATAAGACTCCGAGCTTCACATACACATTTGCTTGGCGGCTAGTGTGCGTGCTGGCCGTGGATCGATACGTAATCAATCGATCGATCGCGCTGGCGCGACTCACATTTATAGTCCGACCTCTCAACGGTCAAGAAAATAGACCACGTGAACACCTTGCATAGTACGTCGTCGATTGCCATTGAGATTCACTTTTGGGTGAACATTATTTGGATGTCCCATTTCTGCAACTATTTTGACTTCTCAACGCAGTTTAAATGATCAGGATCTAGCGCTCTGCTCACTACGTCTTCCCAGAGCTCTCGAGCACTCAAGTAAAAATTCACTCGTTAGTCACTTCAAGTGGTCATAAGTCAACGAGTTATCCTCTACAGTTTATCTCCGTGGATTTTGATAACAGTAATTTTACGACCAAAGTCGTAACTTTTCGTCACAAATAGCATTTCTCGTAAATACAGCAATGATATTGCAGTCACTTTTGTTTTACTTCACGATCAAATTAATTACACGTCTAGATAAATTCCTCTCATCTTTTATATATTTATTTCATTGATTTGATTTGATGCATCAAATTGGACGAAAGTGAGTATCAAATCAAACCACTGATTTCAGCTGGAGGAGGACAGAGAATTTTGCGCTTCGGAATGCTTTGTAAATAGTCAAGAAGAAGAAAAAAGGTGTCAAACGACTTAATGACTATAAAAACTATATATCAGTCAGGACATCGAATGCCGCCTCTTCCGATATCAGCGTCATATAAATGTTTTAGAAGAAGCATGTTTAAAAAAAAGAATTTTTCTGCGAATGCTTTTGAAAACTCCAGTAGCGTGTAAATTGGAGAGTTTCGGCATTGAAGATAGCACTCGTGGATGGATCAAGTTCCCGAGGTATCAAAGTGCATGCACCGAAGCCTCGACGTGTACTAGCTGCAATCTCAACTTACAAATTGCCACTCGTCCTTCATTAGAGGATAGTGCGAAACGCATCTGCTAGTTTTCTATCAAACTGGCAAAGTGATCTTACTCAATGTCCATCAAGAGAAAGTGAGATTTTTGGGGCAATTTTTTTTCTGAAACTGTGAAGAAACAGAGACTCTGCAAAAATTTGACATTTGCGAAGTTTCAGAGAAGCATCAAAAATTCCATAGAGAAAAATCGGCTTTTTTTTCGTTTTTCGCACCCTAATTAAACATCTTGAGAAAAATGCATTTTCAGCTTTTTTGACTTTTAGTACTTGGTCAAGTACTCAAATTTCAAGACTCTCAATAACTTATACGGTTCTTAAAAAGGACTGTTGAGGTGCTGTAGCACTGGGAGGAAATTTTGTTTTACATCGAGCATAGTTCGCTGAACAGGGCTTTTCTCTTTTTCTAATAATCATTCAATAGTACAAATGTCAATGATTTCAATGGTGTATTTGGTTTTCCAAGAAAAAAAATTTTAGTGCGCTGTAGCGGTCAAGAGAAAATTGGGTTTTGCTCTTGGCGCCCAATCTTTGCTCCGGTATGTGGATGGCATTCCGCAACATTGGCACGAAGCCACCGCGCATTTGCAGCATAACGGTTACATAGGCAACGGTTAGCTGTGGCCGTTGCTATTCTTCGTCCAACCACTGATTTGAACTTTGTGTTTTATTGATTGATTGACTCGATTGCACCTATCGGCTTGTGGCAAATGAACGTGATCGTCGACCAGTTTATCAGAGAGTGTATTAAGGCAATGATGCGAAGAATATGAGACAGACTAAAAAAATATATATATATACATTATAACAATAATAACATAGAAACAGTGTAACACATCAACGTCTCCTCGCAACGTAACGATACGAGATAAGTAAGAACCGGTAAGAGCGAGTGAGGACCATTAAGTGTGAAGAATAGAGTGAACTAGGATCGCGGGCTTGACTAGGCGGCGGACCTCGGAAAGCAGTTATGCTTGCCCCTGAGAAGACCGAAACACCGAGGGTGGAAGCCAGTAGGTGATTATGTACGTCAACATGATTGTAGGCGGTTATATACGTGCAGGGCTGGAACCATCCCCGTGGTAACGGGTCATACAAAACCCATATGAACTTGACCCGCCGTCGTCGTCATAAGCTCCAATTGCAATGCGTTGAGCTTGGCAAACAGCATGAAGTGATACGTACAGAACGAAACAATCAGTGTTACAATCAAGACATCGCAAAAAGTGACACAGCGACCGACCATGCAGTAAACAGATTTTGAAATACTTGCAGCCAAGATGATGGAGCGACGCGGCCGCAGCTGCCACCTTTGAAGGATCTGTCGCGAATAGAGCATGCTAACTGCTTCTCCGTGGGATTCTCCTGCACTCTCTCCTACAAAAGTCCACGCCTTCCACGGAACCGTTGCTACACTCCGGGCTCGCCAAGGCATGTCACGGGCCTACCAACCCACTATGTCCAAGAGTCTGTGCACGATGGCGCACTGTTTGCTAAAAAGGAATGCGTAAGAGTAAAATAAAAAATGAAAGAAGGAAATGGTCTTATATATCCTCCTATTTTGTTGAAGTAGATTTTCGTCGAGTAATTGAGTGGTATGAACCCATTGACGCTCTTGCTGACGTCGTTTCTTTGAGTCATCCCTTAGTAAAAAAAAAAGAGGAAGAGACATGTAACTGACACTTCGGAATGACGTCTGACTAGCGACTGAAAAGAGATACAAGAGAAAAATAAAATAAGAAAGAAAATGTCTGTGAATCTGAACATACATTGTTCTTGCTTTAACTGATAATCATTACTTAATGGATGTGCTCAGGTTGATTTGATTACCCAAGTTTGACGTTGTCTAATAGTCTTCGCGTCATTGTCTTATACTGTCCCTGATAATCTAATCGATAATCACGTTGAGTTGCTACAATCCGACAGTAGTAATCGAATCAACCAATCAATCAAACACAAAGTTCAACTCAGTGGTTGGACGAAGAATAGAAATAGAAAGCGGCCCGAGCAAACCGTGGCATTTGTGGTACAGTGGTGAAATGCTCGCCTGCCACGCAAACGATCCGGGTTCGGTTCCCGGTCAATGCACCTGTAGTACCACGTTGAGCCAGACATTGCCCTTCGTCGTCTAGTCACTAGTGTGCTAAGTGGGCACGAGGCACTCCACCTTTCGGTTCATTTTTGGGTCTATGCTATGTATCCAAAACGCTTCTGAAGTTTTACGCGCAGTTATCTTTTATTCCTGTGCGAGGATCGCGGACTTGACGCCAAACATTACTTCTGCATGTTTTTTAGACCCCATGCGTGTTCAGTGGGGCTTTTGATCAGAGTTGCTTAATCTAACTAGGTACTCTTTAAAATGGAGGAATAGTGCTCTACCAGTTTCGCCAGTGTATTCATGCCCGCATGTCTCGCAAGAGTTGAGTATATTGTACCAGATCTCATGCAGTCGTCGTCTGTGCCATTTGGACAAACTTAGCAGTCATTAGTTTCGCAGAGGCAGTCATACAGTCGGTTACGGACTAATTGGCGCTTCAGTGTCTCTAGGGGTATTTAAACTGTTGCTATCGCATTATCCAAACCTGCTCTTTTCAGGCAATGTTTGATAGCGGTACTTACTTTGTTATAAATAAAAGGCAGGAGAAAAGGAACTTTATTTTCGCCAGACTTGTCGTTTGGAAGCATAGAATTTCCTCTACTTCTAACCCGAGAAGCTCCTACCGTATCGTAACCATTAGAGATGGCCATTTTTTCGCACCAAGCTTAGAGATTCTACCTTGCGTTCTTTTCCTGTGCGCACATCGATCGCTGTACGAAACATGTTATTCGGAAGCGCGCGTTTTATGTATGACGGATGAGAAGATAGGTAATTAACCAAGATGTTCTTGTTAAATGAGTTTTCGGTACCATTTTGGGTGGAAGAAGTTTTCGAGCAGGTTGGCCTGAGCGTTCAAAAAATGGGGGCCAAATTGCTTTCGGGTTCTCACGAGTGAATTTTATGCACTCTGGATGACTATTCAACAACTTAAAACATTTGCTCATCTCCTCTTGAGTTAAGCAGACGACAAAGCAATCACGTATATACCTAGCAGTAGAGTAACGACCCGAGATCGATTGTTGGGGTCATCGCTTAAGACATGAAGGCTATAGCAAGGGTTGGCGCTAGTCGTTGTTCCATTTCCAGCCCTCTGATTTGGGCAAAATATTTCCCAGACCATCTAAAGATTGAACAGTTTAGGCACTCTTTTAAATAAGCCATAACCTGCCGGATGGTAAAGCCATGCATGCTTATGGTCCTTTCGTGCTCCGTTAGAAGCTCGTATACGGCTGAATTGCGGACTTATTCGACACGTTTGTATAGAGGGCGGTTACGTCGAAAGATTCCATTACGTAAGCGTTGTTGGGGGACGCGTTACGTAGATGATCTAGTAACATTTAGGTATTGGTGAGATGGGCTGATATGTGTTTTAGCAGTTTGACTAGTGTTAAGTTGAAAAACCATGTTATTCAATCCGTTGGTCGGCCTACACAGCTGATATTGGGCCCTATTTGAAATTTGATGGGTTAGTAGAAATAAGATCATCAATGCAAACCATCTTATGAGTTTTAATAAGTATAAGACGGGACATGATGGTGGATTAAGTTTTAGTTGAGAGATAACAGAAGGTTTCAAATCAACGAAATTGCTAATTTTATCCATTCTTTATTTAACTTCCAATATTGTTCTTCGAATTCGTTATCAGATGATGGACGATAAAGTGTGGTGACTTTGAAATGTTTTATTTTGTTTATCGCAATATCCAACTGATTGGATATTACTACAAACTTTCCTCCCTTGTAATAAGTGATAGTCTAATGGTCTTGGAATTTACCAGATCCCGTAGCTGTCGCATGTCGCTTTTCTGCGCTGATGTCAGGTTAAATCAAATATTTTCCACGGTAATGGTTGAAGATTCTAAAACTTTCGTTTGAAAATTTGCGAAAATTGATATCTACCTGGTTATTTGGGTCTTGTTGCCTAAGGAACGCTCGAGGAAAAGGTGGTATTGGTATTGCCCCTACAATTTGTTGTTCATGCCTATTATTTGATTCTAGTATGACCTAATAGCGGATTTGGTCCTAAAGTTCTTGCAAATTGCATGCAATACTACACAAGGTTTCCTTAAAAATGAGTGCACTGGTAAGAAATTTGGACCCATTTCCAAGAGTGAGCGAGCATTAACGGCAGAGTTATATATAAACACTAATGGTATATACATTATGACGACTAGAAGCCTGGACGGAAATATCAGGACAATGATGAGCTGTCGTGCTTGACAAAGCAGCGAACTTTGGGAATGCGTTAGATTATATGCTGACATGATTAGAGGTGAGTATATGTGAGTAGGACTGGAACCCATTCCTCGGTGGCGGCTCAAACAGAACTTGTATAGAATTGGCCCACCACCGTTTATCATGATCTTCGCTCACAATGCATTGAGCTTCGCAAGTGACAGAGAAAAAATAAGAACAGAAAAAAGAACGATTAGTGATGGAATCTTTGGATCGCAATAGAAGAGTGACGAGACTGACCGCTCACGAAGCACAGACGTTGCGAAACTGGTCGCTGCTCCGATGACTTGGGGACTCAGTTGCAAATGTGACCTTTAAAGGTTATACTGCGATGGAGCACGTCAACAACCTGTTTGTGGGATCGTCTGTCAAATGCCCAAAGAACTAGCATCCACGGATCCGTTGCTAAATGTTGTTTTGATACGTAAATTCAAATAATTATATAGCTAAGTGTGCCGAGAGTTTGTTCTGTCGTTTTGTGGGCTTACACTTTCCATTTTGACTTTATATTAACAAATAAATCCGTAAATAAGCATAACGTTGAGCTTATACACGAAGAGCATATGAAGGAAATCATGGAGTATAGGAGTCATGTGTTTCATCTATAGTTCCTTCAGAACTGAGAAAAAACCCAGATTCCTTTTTATTTGACCGCCTTTAACGGTGGCATGATAGAACAATACACCCAGTGATGTCGAATGATGTGCAAAAACCTTTGCGTTAGGTGAGACTCGAATCCACTATTCACCCTATCCGGGGCGCGTGCTCACATCACTCTACATCACTGGATCTATTGTAATATCATACCACCGCTAAAGGCGATCAAATAAAAAGAGTTCTGTGAAAGAGTAAAAAATAAACTTAGTGTGGGGGCTGGAGCACCTACAGAGATTAGCAAATGACGAGAAAGAGTTACTGCCCAACTGACGACATCGCAAGATCAAAACACGTGTATCGAGCTCTACAAGTCAGCTCTCTTTGATAGACCACTGACAAGAGTGGCTCAAGAAATGATTATGAGGCATACTGAAAAAAGGTTCTGTTTGATTATCAATACTCAGTATCTGCCCACATGAGTGGGTTCATTGTCAGTCAGAGGAAAACTCTTAGAGGAGAAACTATGAATTCGTAACAAAGATTGCACGCCACATATGATTCACGCTGCGCGAGTGATGTTACATCCACCGCGCCCTACCTGAGTAGATGCTCACTGAATGCAAGATTCCGTCTTCTTTTGACCGCTACAACGCAATAGAGGCCTTTAGAAAAAGAGCGAAATATGCCATTAGAATCGTCGAGATTGAAGCTTTCGATTTATTGCTAGAAGAAAAAGAAAGAAAAAGGAAAAAGAAAAGTAGAGAAAAAAGTAGAGATTTAGGTTTGTCCAGCGAAAACTCTCAAGTGTGAAATAAATTTTGCTTTCTCTGCTTCGGCCTTATAGGAAATCCTTTTTCAAAATGAGTAAACCATAGGAATTCTCAAGATCAAGCTATGACTGACTAAAAAAGCAGAGAAGGGTTTCTCTAACTAGTTGAAATAGGGTGCAGATAACGGAAATGATCCGAAATATTAAATGGTTATGTGACTGGATTTTCAAAATCTAACAGCAGCATAGACACAATGCTCACCACGATTATATGAAGTTCTCACTTACTTTCCAATCTATTTGTGCACAGATTTTGATACATGTGTCACTTGATCGGCTCAAAATTTAACCATTCAAAGTCCACCTCTTCCTGGCTTTTGATTTTTTTCCTTGGACAAAACAAAAAGGTTTTATTCCTGTTAAACGGCAGTAAAAAAATATTCGTTCTTATTTGCTGATGAGAGTAATCACTCGTTAGCTCAGATCTCCGGCTGAGTCGTACGTGACCGGTTTTTGAAAGCACCCATGTATATGACGCTGTAAAATTTAAAATGGAATTATGTTCACACCCTCTGCGCATTTTCATTTTTATCACGCATATAATTTACTGGAAGCACGGAAAGCATTTAAATGTGTAGAGGAAGGTTAGTAGTATCTGAGTCACTCGTTTCACCTCTCTCAAAGCGGAGAAAAGTTCTCAATTGAATGACAACTTGCATATCACATGTCTAACACTGAGCTATCGATACATCACTCCGCTCCCCAATGCGTAGATTAGCAGGTGAACAAGCTCGCCAAATATGTGAAGCTCGATCTCATTCTTCCAGTTATACTGTAGTGAAACCGTTTTTCCCACAAAGAAGCACAACGTTGGAGTCATTGAGACTCACAGTGCCACATGATTACTAATAGTTCAAAAAAAAGCTCTGTCCGGCAAGGTTTAAAGCACAAATCTTTTCATTCTCCTACACGCTATTAAAAAAGCTGTTATGAAAAGCAAACACATTTCTGAGCTCTTCGAACTTGTACTATCACAAGAGACCAGCAGTCTAGGGGAGGAGTTTTGTCCAGCAAAATACAAGCGACATAAAAGAAAATGCGTAGTCGGGCAAAACAAAATTTATTTTGGATTTTATAGCGTTATAAAAAAGTGTTTTGAAAAGACGGCAACGTACGGCTCAAATTAGAGATTTGAGCTTCCGAATGGTTACGAAAACTCCTAAAAAATTCTTGTCCAGCGAATGAGGTCGAATATTCATTCTTCGCCGTCTAACAGAAAGTACCCAAAAAAGTCGAACCGAATAATAGAACGTTGACATCATAAAATATTGTTTGCCGTGCCTTTACTTTGTCGAATAAATACTGTTTTTGATGAACATAGAAATTTCAC